GAGCTGGGTGCTGTAGAACTGGGTGATGTAGAGCTGGGTGATGTAGAGCTGGGTGATGTAGAGCTGGGTGATGTAGAGCTGGGTGCTGTAGAGCTGGGTGATGTAGAGCTGGGTGATGTAGAACTGATTAATCGACGCCTAAATGTCTTACAAACTTCCTGAGCATTTTCAGCAGTGAAGCTCTTTATCGGGTTCTTCATGCCTCTTTGTGTCTGTTTTAATGTTTAAGTGTTTTACATAAAGGAAAGACCCAGAGGAATCCAAACATTTACAGGAATGTGTTCATGCAGAAAATCCCAAACTGCAAATACAAAGGGACTGATTTTCTGTTTATGTGGGGATGGAAATGAGGCGTGATCTGCAGCCTGATCTGTAGTTCGATCTGCAGCCTGATCTGTAGTTCGATCTGCAGCCTGATCTGTAGTTTGATCTGTAGTTCAATCTGCAGCCTGATCCAAACCGATTATAGTTCAACACAGAAGCAGGCGGACAAATTTTATCTGCTTTGCCTCCAATTAACTAAATTAACTGAACATCTGTTTTTTAGTGTATTTTAATTAGTTTGTACTTGTATATTTATGTTATTTATTCCATCCATCGTCTACAGCAGTTTGAGTTCATCACAAGGCAACATAGACCTTTTATTTTTATTTATTTTATTATTAGATTCATGTTTCCATTTATGCATTGATTGATCCATTTACCCAACAAAAACATAAAATAAAAATAAATGTATAAAGTTATGTTCTGGAAGTGATTCTGTCCCAGGTTTATTTTATTAATTAGTTCATGACAATATTTTGTTCATTCAGTTATTTGTGTATTTTAATTTCAAACTTTTTTTTTTACCTTTAAAAATACTTCTTTTAATGTCTATATATTTCTGTTTTTTTTTTATTTCAATATCGTTTTGTTTTATGCATTAATTTTATGTCTGTTTTGAATTCAGTGATGTTTGCAGCTGTTCTGACAAGTTAAGATTTAAAACAGACAAAATAGAATCAAATGTTTATTCAACATATTCATGAAACTTCTTTTTCTTTTTTATTACAAAATCATAAAAACTTTAACTATTAGCTTTAGCTGTAAAACAAAGTTTTAATATAAAATAAGACATAAAATATATGGACTGATAAACCAAAGAGTATCTGTGAGGCGATGCATCAAGGATGAATTTAAAAAAACACAGCTTTAGTATCTTGATGTTTTTACATTTTTTAGTGATGATTTCTCCTTTTCTTCTCCAAAAAGTCGATGAGTTTCTGCACTCCTGGATTCCCCTCAGCAGGAACCACACACAGCTTCATGTTTCTCCGGTTGACAAATCTGTAAAAAAGAAAGAAAGAAGGCAGATTAAGAGATGAACTAGGAGTCTAAATGTTCCTTTTTCTGGCCTGATTAGTTAAATCAACACTCACACAGTGGCGCTGATGTCGCAGCCCTTCCCGGCTCTCTGGACGCTGTAGCTCACCAGGTTTCTGGGGTTCAGACGCTTTTCACTCTCCACTCTGAGGCAGCAATCCACCGCAATCTGAGCTGCAGAAACATGAAGCAAGGCTGTCAGAACGACTCAAAAATACCCCCAAAATTAAAAAGAAAGCTAAAATCACGCCAACAGAGTGACCCTTCAGCAACAAGGCAGTTCAAAAGTGCTTTACATCTTAAAAACACAAAAGTCACCAATTGACAAAACAGCAACAAACATTACATTTTGACGATTGGCATCACCAAAAACATCAAATATTGGTCAATTTTTCATTTATTATGGTTCAAAAGCAACTCCAAACAGCTGCGTTTTTAGCCTTGATTTAGAGGAACTCAGTGTTTCAGCTGATTTGCAGTTTTCTGGAAGTTTGCTCCAGATTTTGTGCTGCTTAGAAGCCGAATGCCAAATTCAGTAAATAAAAGCTGATCTGGTTGCCGCAAATTTGGCTTATTAGTAAAAAAAAAAAAAAAAATCTGGATTGCTGTTTTTTCTACTGTGATAAAAAAAAAAACTGTCAGCATTTTAAATTATAGGAAAATAATAATTTTACACAGAAAAATAAAAAAAGTCAACCACCTATGCAACATTTGTATCATTATTGAACTGCAAAAACTCAGCACCAGTTTGAACAATAAAAACATAAAAATCTTTCTTCCTCTTACCTGTAGCAAACTCAACGCAGACGAGTCCCAGTAAAATCAGAGCTGCAGCTTTGGTGGCCATTTTTCTGTGCTTTCCGGTTGGATCAGAGCGAATGTTCAGGATCTGGAGCTGCAGGTGCTTTTATACAGGTGTGGACAGATAGTGAAACTTTCAGCAATCCCTCGCTGACTGGAAGTGGGGACAGGTGGCAACACACATGTCTGCAGGCATTGTGTTTAGTCTTCCATGGTTCAGTGCCAAAAATTCCCTAAAGTTTGGTTTTTGCATGGTTCCCGGCTCTCAACAGGAGGAAAACGTGCGAGTAAAATGGACAAGGCACCAAATAAATGTAAACATTGCATTTTTGTTGGAAATTTAAGCTAATTGTAATTGAAAATAGTAAATTTAGTTGATGGGATTTGTTGGTTTAAGAGCAACTTTGCAAGCTGCACTGCAAAAAAAACAAAATCTTTCCAATAATTTTTGGTCTAGCTTCTCGTGAAAACATCTTATTATACTTATAATAAAACAAAACTAACTTTCAAGTAACTTTTCATCAATATATTGGAGCTTGTTGTAAGTAAATAATTCCTTAATATCAATGAAAAAGTTCCATTCTTTCACTTGTAACATGGGAAAGACGTCACCCATCTAATCTAAATCAGATATTCAGAGAATGACCAAGTACAGAGTTTGCTGGAATAGCAGCATGATACATTTATGGTTTGTTTGGATTACTTCTCATAATTCAATCAGATTAAAGTCAGAAATTAATCTCTGAACTGAGCGTTTATCTTTTGGGTCAAAGTCTTTCTACAGAATCTGCTTTTGGTTCTGCATAGATCGAAACTTTAATATTTGCTTTTAACCACAACTGGAGATAATTTCAGTTCCTGAATAAAACTAATTCAAAAGTACAGCTTGATATTAAATATGTATTTTTTTCTTTTTTAAATCAAATCTGATTATAAATCAAATGAAGTGTTTTGTAATCAGCGGCTCTTTTTCCATTTTGATACTTGTTTTGAAAGGAGTTACTTTAGTTTGGCTGTTTCCTGTTTTCTTTTTTGTCTTTGATTTATTATTGATTTATTTTCCTTAGTTGCTGGAACTTTATTGTATTATTTTATTTTTGAAAGTTTCTGGTTTTACTTTATTTATTTATTAATTTGTTCGTTCAAGAATAGGTTGTTAAATTCAGCCTTTTATATTATTGTTGTTTGTAGAGGATTTTTAATGTCCCATTTTATTTTATTTTAAAGTGCTTTTGTTCTTTTTTTATTATTTTTATTTAGTACTCTTTTTCTTTTAATTTTATTTATGTATTAAAAATCTTTGATATTGTTGTTTTAAAAGGAAATTATAGAAAGACATATTTTGAATTATTTATTTTCCTTTGATATCACTAATTTTATTATATATATATTTTTTTATTGCATTATTTATTCAAGCTGTTTTGTAATATTCTCTGCTGAAATTGTAATTTTTCATTTTTTTAAGTTTTAGTTTTCTTTTAAATCAAACATTATTCATTTCCACTGTATTGTACTGTTGTTTAAGAATTTCATTTGATTTTTTTTGTTTTTCATTTATTTACTTTCTCATTTCATTTATATTAAGGAATCAGAAGTTGTATAGAGGAAGTCAAGACTTGTAAAAACATCACACCAACCAAAATGTACAAAATGATATAAAACAGTTTATTTAAACTCTGTACAATAAAATAATCACATTTTGTCAACAAACCATCCTGCAGCATACAGTACAGTGATAAACTGAGCCAGTTCCTGCTTCAGCCATGCAGTTCAGGCAAGTTAAGGCAATTGTTTGTTTCTGTACATGTCAGAGAAATTCAACAGAAAGAAAACAACAAAAAGAGGAAACAGAAGTCTGACACCATAAATTAAAATAAACTTGTGCAGAACCAAAACAACTTGTGAGTAACTTTACAAGTTTGATCTTTTCAGCAGTTTTTCCGTCTTTTCTCCACGTTCTGTAACCAAAGAGAGCAGAAAGTGAGGAAATGCATTTCAAATAACTTCAATAAATCAAAAAAAAAAAAACAAAACAGAGGGATAAGTTGTTCTACCTGTTCTAGTTTGCAGACTGTCTCCTCTTCTCCAAAGTCCTGATGAGGTTTTGCACCCACTGGTTTCCCTCAGGGGGAACGACACACAGCTTCATGCCTTTCTTATTCAAAAACCTGCAAAACCAGATGGAAAAACATCATTAAAATCCAGCAGAACTCTAAGAAAATAACTGGTAAATCTGAGCAGACACTCACACAGTGGCACTGATGTCACAACCCGAGCCGGCAACCTGAAGCTTGTAGCTCACAATGTTTTTAGGAATCAGACGTTTTTCGCTGACGCTCAAGCAGCAATCCATCACAATCTGGGCTGCAGGAACACAAAAAGTAGCAAAAAATTCATGTGATTAATGCTTTTCAATTAGAAAATGCAGGCAGATTTCAGAAAATTTGAATTTTTCTCTTACCTGTTGCAACATGGAAGCAGATGAGACCCAGGAAGAGCAGAGCTGCAACTTTGGAGGCCATTTTTCTGGAGCGTTTTCTCTTCTTTGGAGAGTTTCTTCAGGAGAAAGTTGCTGCTGCTGTGACAAGACGAGTGAGCTGCAGGTGAATTTATACAGGTGCAAGAGAAAGTGAAAGTTTAAACAGTCCTCATTGACTGTAAGTGTGGACTTTTGGCAACAGATTGGGACAAGCTCAGACACGTTTTTAAAAAAATCCCCTAACAGAGGTTTTTACATGTAGCTCAGATAACATGCAGCGATCTGCTCAACCGTGTAGTAGCTGCTGATTTAGATGAAGACATGAGAAGCTATAAAATTAAACAAACTTGTAAATAATGTGCATGTAACTGAGATACATGAAGGAAATTCCTGAAGGAATCATGCATGTAGAATAAGTAGAAGTAGAAATTATTCCCAAGAATATTTTTAAAAATGCATATAAATCATCCATTTTTGCTAAAAAAGCATAAATCCTTTTAGTATATGATGTGAAAACAGAATAAAATACTCCTCTTTTCACATTTTCTGTATTTATTGGTTTGTTCTCATGCACTCTAAGGGTTTCCAAACTGTGGCTCAGGGGCCATTTGTGGCCCTTGAGGTGATTTTCTGCAACCCTTAACCACAAAAAAAGGAAAATTGCAACTTGGTTTTCTAGCGCAATGTTTGAGTTTTAAAACATTCATAAAAGAAAATAATACCTTTCCTGCCTTTCAAAAATGATGCTAATCTTCTAAAAGGCTCGTATATCAAACATGTTTTGCACATTAGTTCAATTTTATAACCAAATATTCAGTGATTTTTCAAGTGCAGATTTTGGTGTATGCATTTTGTAAACTTGGTAAAATTAAGTAAGATGTTTTTTGAAGAGTGAACGTTCACATTATTGGGGCTCTTTGAGCATGAACCAGTCAGAATATACAACTGGTTATTTTATTATAAAGGCAAAGAAGGAGGAGTAGATATCTGCCAAAAAACTCAAAACTCTTGTGATTAAACTCAGAAATCTGCCAGAAAAAATGTTGACATTTCTGAGCTCTAAAAGTGAAAAAAAACAAAAAAAAACTGAGAAATGTTGAGATTAAGCTCAGAAATTTTATAGCAAAAACATGAAAAATGTACATACAACTAAAATTTTAACTTTGCAAATATAAAAACTCAAACTTTTAGATTAATCTCAGAAATTGTTGAGAAAAAACTTTACATTTTTCAACTTCTGGAATTTTTCTGAATTTGCAACTTAGTTCATAAATTTCAACTTTTTTTCTGGAAAATTGCTGAGATTAATCTCAAAATTTGGCGGAAATTTACGTCTCCTCTTTTTCGATCTACAATGACCCTAAAGCGCCTTAATACACCGTCACCTTCGTGCAACTGGATTATTTAGTCAAATCTATTTTTATTATTTTCCTCCAGATCCACCTTCCAGTCTAGAGGTGGCGGCAAAGAAGAAGAAAAAGAGTTCTGCTACTGGGGTTGATGCTACCGCTAACTAGCTGCTAATGCCCTAGCTAGCTGGGTAGCTAGCTAAGTATCTTTGGTGCGTCTGTTATGGATAAGTGCAAATTTGTCATCAGTTGGTTGGACGAATTTTGTACATTTCTGTGGAAATACGAATAAAGGTCTTAAATTACATTTATAATGATCCTAAAAAAATGTTACGTTTTCAATTTCAGTTGGTGAAACTCAGTCAAGTTTGCTTCCGCATGCGCACAACGCAAAAAGAGGATTCTTCTAATTTACTTAAGAGGAAATGAAACCTGGATTGTATCCTGGCTGTGATTGATAGGGAACGCATACTGAGTTCATTGTATGCTTGGAGCCATTGGAAAAGCGGCAGTTATCAGAGCTTTTATCAGGAAGTGTTGCAAAAGATCGATCTCGTTCTCACCATTATCTTCGCAGAAAATTTCCCCACATTCTTTTCATTTGTTGTTGACTGTGCGGTCGGGGATTTCTCCTGTTGGCTAAACAACTGGCACCTCTCCAGTTCTTTGTGACAGTGGCTTGTTTTAAGCGTTTTTACACAAGGTTGGGCGTGCATCCGTGCAGATTATCATCTGGGAGTGGGGAGACAGTTGATCGACGGGAGAGGCACTTTCCCGACACGACCAGATATTCTGCCAGCAGTGATGCAACTTTTCAAAAGGGTGTGAGAGGGATGCAGACATGAAATGATCTGCCTCTAATTTAGTTGTTTTCTGTCATTAAACACTAAAACTGATTAGTTTTAGTGTTTAATGACAGAAACACTAAGTTAGTTTTAACTAACTTAAATGTTAGTTAAAACATTTTTCATGTTTTAACTAACATGAAAAATGGCCCAAATGCAAAATAAAGCAGTTTATTCAGTCAACATATCATTTAAAATAGCAAGAAAACTTGTATTTGTATTTTTTGTAGATTTTTCACATAATAAGTCATGCAACGTTTTTTTTTCCCTCAAATTTATATGTTTGCATGTTGTGCCTTGCAGAAGAAATGTGAATACAAAAACACTGGGTCTATTTTATTATGTAGGTCAACTCTTAGTCATCTCTGAACAATCATCATTCTCAACATCCACCAGCAAATTACTCTTGGGCACTTAAAACCACAGCCTAGACCAATTAATTTTGGTCTAGTTTATAGTGCAAGTATCTTCCTACACTTGAAATAAGACAAAACAAACTTTCAAATAACTTTCAGCATAATATTACGGCTTATTTTAAGCAAATGATTCCATAATTTTGACTTTAAGAAGTACTGTGTAGCTGGTAGATGATTTCACTTATAATAATTAATTTTCCTCATCT